CCACCAGCAAACCCTCACCCAGCGGTGTGGCCACCAATGTCAGCAGTGGCATCACCCCAGGTCAGGCAGCGGCCATCGCCTCTACCACCATCATGGTCCCCTTCGGCCTGGTCTTTATCGTCTTTGCTGTCCATTTCTACCGCTCCCTGGTCAGCCATAAGACGGACCGACAGTTCCAGGAGCTCAACGAGCTGGCTGAGTTTGCTCGCTTACAGGACCAGCTGGACCACAGAGGGGACCACCCCCTGACACCTGGCAGCCACTATGCCTAAGCCCTCCTGCTGGGCCCTTCAGAGCTTTGGCCTTATGCCCTTCCCCATGACCTTGTCCTGCCCCAGCTTTGAGGACAGCCTGCAGGAGGCCGGGCTTGGTCAGGGCACAGAGTAGAGGGAAGGGGCTTTTTAAACAAGAAATTACTGCACTTTGAGACTTTCCTCTAAGAGAGTAAGCACTTCCTGTTCTTCCAGCTCCGGGGCCAACTCCTGGTAGGAGGCAGTGGGGGCCTGAGTGGGGACAGATGCTCTCTTTGTCCCTATTCCATCACTGTGCCAGTGCCACCCGGATGCTTCCTGTCCTCTCCGTCTCATCCTCCCTCCCCGTTGAGTGTCGAGTGTGTGCATGTGTGTTAGCACATAAATATACTCATAAGGGACACCTCTTCCTTGTGTCTGTATTTGTTGTGTCCTGGTTCCAAGTCAGGCAAGCCTCTAAACAGTTTTTAAAATATTTTGGAGGGGTTAGGATGTAGCTCAATGGCAGAGTGCTTACCTAGCATTTGTGAGACCCAGGGTTTGATCCCTAGCACCAGAGAAAAATATAAAATAAGTTTTTAAGTTTTTTGTGTCTGTGTCTGTACATATGTGTGGTACTGGAGATGGAACCTAGGGTGTGGTGCGGGCTAGGCAAGCACTTTTCYACTGAGCTACACTCCCAACCCCTTTTCCATTTCTTTCTTCTTTTTTCTTATCTATTTATTTATTTTGAGGAGGTACTAGGGATTGAACTAGGGGCACTCAATTACTGAGCCACATCCCCAGTCCTTTTTTATATTTTATTTAGAGACAGGATCTCAGTGAGTTGCTTAGCACCTCACTAAATTGCTGAGGCTGGCTTTGAACTCACAATCCTCCTGCCTCCAACTCCTGAGCCGCTGGGATTACAGGCGCCCAGCCTCAACYCCCCCCCCCCCCCCCCCCGAAAACTCTTTGGAACCTGCAGAAAACCTGTATAAATAGTAACTAAAATATGTATATAGTCATTTCTTTTTATTTGAGGTAGTTGCATTCTATAAATCACCATGAACTTTAGGTGAGCAGTACTGAGCCATTGCTCCTAGGGAAAATCCAGGGTTGGTTGCCTGCCGGCCTCTGGTATGATATTTTTGTCATTTAATGAAAACATTACCTTGTTTTAGGTGTAATTCTATTTAAAGACATTTTTATTGTTGATTCATTACCATTGAACTTATAGCCAACAGCAGCATTAAGTCATACCTAAACAAAGATTATTTAACACACATGTTGTCTCTGTAAGAGACATTATCACCTTGTGTTTAGGAATGCTAGACAGATTTCTAATACTGTATTTGGGAATCTTTTCCTTTTGTGCTGGGGATTGAACCCAGGGCCTTAGCCTCACTCCTCTACCACTGAACTACTATATCCTCAGCCCACTGGGGACCATTTTAAATAGCAGGATCAAAATGTAACACTAAATATTAAACTGTGAAGCTGGACACAGTGGTATACACCTGTAATCTCAGCTACTTAAAGAGACTGAGGGAAGAGGATCTCAAGTTCCAGGCCTGCCTGGGTGACTTAGCAAGACCTTGTCTCAAAATGAAATGGAAAAAGAGCTGGGGATGTAGCCTGGTAGCGTACCTGGGTCACATCCCTAGTACTGCCAAGAAGAAGAAGAAAAAAAAGACGCTTGTTTACAATAGAAGCAGAAACTAGAACAAGGCAGTGTTAGGCATTATTCGTCTTCTTGTTAGACCTCAGCAGGTAGGCAAGTTCACAAATACTGAGACCACAAATGAGGCTGGACTGCATAAATCCCCCCACTCCATGTCATATCCTTTAGTTATTAACCTTCATGTTCGGTTTCCCACTTGTCCCAGGAATAAATGACCTTCTGATGATGCTTTTTCCAATCCTGAACCATGCATAGCAATGAATCATCCTGTCTTAACCTCCTTTAGTTTGGAACAGGTTCTCAGCCTTTCTTGTCTTCTGTAATTTTAACATTTTCAGAGTCCAGGCCTGTGGTTTTATGTAGAATGTCCTATCAATTTGGTTTCTCTAATATTTTCTCATTATTACAATCAGGGTGTGTGTTTTGGCAGAAATAGTGTATAAGTTTAGAGATAGTGTCAGGACCCATTTAAAACAAACAAGCAAAAATGTTAGTTCACCATTCACCGATGTATCCATCAGCTCATTTAATCCTGAGCATCCTTACCTGGCACCAGGCAGGTTCAGACCAGGAAAAGTTTTGCTCAGATACAAGGCCTGTGCAAAAGTCCTACCTGGGCTTATTCTGAYTTTACTTGAAGAATGGGAAGATGCAGGAGCGCTGGGCTTACCTTGCAGAGAAGCAGCAGGAGCTGAGTTGCCACCACCCTCTCTCCCTAAGGCCTATTTTTATCACAGTCTCCACCTCTCCCTCTTTTTATTTCACTCTTTTTTTTTAATATTTTTAGTTGTAGATGGACACATACCTTTATTTTATTTATTTATTTTTATGTGATGCTGAGAATTGAACCCAGTGCCTCACACATGATAGGCAAACACTCTATCACTGAGCCACAACCCCAGCCCCTCCACCTCTCCCTCTTGTCCCACACCAGGCCAGGTTCACTTGTTACTTGCCTGGTCCCAATAGGCCCTGAGTTTGAGATTTCTGTATCTCAGAAACTCAGTATGTAAAGTGGTTTTAGAAAGTGCCCTGGCTAGTCAGGCATGATGGTGCATTCCTATAATCCCAGTGGCGGATCCAGAGGCTGAGGCAGGAGAATCACAAATTCAAGGCCAGCCTCAGTAATTTAGCAAGGCCCTAAGCAACTTAGTAAGACCCTGTCTCAAAATTTAAAAAAGGCTGGGGATGTGGCTTAGTAATTAAGTGTCCCTCCTTTTAACCCTGATACCAAGAAAAAAAAGGTGGGGGGGGTGCTCTGGCTGAAATAAAAGTTGGGTGGGGCATTAGTAAGCCTAATACTCATCTCCCTCCTATGACTTCACATTCACCCTGCACCCTAAGATCTCTACTCCACTACTTCTGCAGAGACGCAGGATTTGGCAGTAGTCATTTTTGCTGTGATCTTATAGTCTTAGATTTGCTTTCCTAAACTTGCCTGGACTCAAGAATCCCCGGCCTAGCTTGCAGGATGCAGATTTCCAAGTCCCCACCCCCCAGGAGATTCTGATTCAAGTTGGTTTAGGTGTGTCTCTGGAATCTATTTCTAATAAGCACCCCAGGTGTCTCACGCCCAGGCAACTTGGGCAAGACTCAGTTAGGAGCAGTCTGGGGCTGGGTGTAGCTCAGTGGTAGAGCATCTGCTTAGCATCTGTGAGGCCCTGGGTTCCATCCCCAGCATCCAAGTAAATGAATAAGATCACAGTCCTTTAGTTACAATTTTATTTATATTTTGAATACATCAGATAATACATTCACAGGGTTCCAAATATAACAGTGAAAAGTTGCTCTCACCCCTGTTCCCAGATCCTCTGTTCTCCCCAGAGATGACCATTATTGTCAGTTTTGGCTCCTGCCTAGCACTATTTTATATTTAAACACACCTTCCCTCCTCCAGTTTTTTCTAAAACAAAATGGTAACCTTCTATACATACTCTCCCGTGCCTTGAAAGCAGATAGATTCAAGTTTAGGCACAGTACTAGCTTGATGACCTATGAACCTCCCTCAGTTTCCTCCTCTAAAATGGAATTAATAATAGCAGGACAACTCACAAGTCTGGGCAAAGTCACTGGAGAGTAGGCACAGGAAGTTGTTGACACAGGCCTGGGCATAGGATAAACACTCTGCATCTGGTAGTTGATTCTATATCCTGTGATGGCCAGCCTTAATTCTGATGTCTGGTACAGACAGAACCACACCCTGGGTCAAGCCACTTAGGATGCAGGGGGCAGGGAGCATCTTTACTGAGCTTTTTACTATGTGCCTAGCACATCCTGAGGACTTTACAAACATCACTGGATTTCAGTGTTTCTCTACCTGGACACTGTTGACTGGGATGAACAGCTCTCCTGCAGCATTCTTACATTGTAGCATATTGAGCAGCATCCCTAGTCTCTACCCGCCAGACCCCAGTAGCATGCTTCACTAATCATGACAACTCGAAATGTCTCCAGACATTATCAAATGTCTGAGGTGCTGGGGATAAAAAAATCTCACCTGGTTCCATCCTTGTAGTAATGAACCACAGTAACCCTAGCAGCTAAGTCTTGTTCTGACCCAGGTTACAGGTGAGGAAGCCCAGAAAACTGAGAGTTTGGGTGACACTCCCAAGAAGGCACAACTCAGGTCCAGGCAGGCTAGCTCTAGGGTGCATTAAGCAAGAGTCCCTCTTATCTCTCAGGAATGCTGCCTACCTTAGAATTCTGCAGAACTCTTCCCAGGCACATGGTCCGCAGTTAACCTCAATACATGCTATTGCATCAAGTCCTCCAAACACTCCTGTGATGTTTCTAAATTTGATTTTACAGATAGAGCAAAACTGGCCACTAGCTTAGGGATCCATGGCCAGAAGGTCAGGGGTTCTTGTCTTCAGCTCCACATCAGAAACCCCTGGGAAACTCTGAATGCCTAGGCCTCATCCTAGATGGGACTCCCTGGGAATGGGACCTGGGCATCCACAGCTTTTATTTATTAGGTAATTTATTTAGGTACTGGGAAGGGAACCCAGGGTGCTTCACCACTGAGCTACACTCCCAGTCCTTTTTATTTTTATTTTGAGGGTCTTGTTAAGTTGCTAAGGCTGGCCTCAAACTTGAGATCCTCCTGCCTCAGCCTCCCAAGTTGCTGTATTATAGGTGTGTGCCACTGCACCAGGCTGTCCATAGCTTTTAACATTTCCATGGATTCCAAGATTGAGAGCTTCTGTGTGACATTGAGAAGGTGGGTCAGGCTTTAATACCAAATCTTGGTGGCCAGTGTGGTAGAATGCAGGTTCATCCTCCTCTCTGGACTGTCTGAGAGGTCAGAGACCAGGAGTCATGTGCTTTTCTCCACCCAGAAATTCATGCAAAGATAAGGCAGTCTTGCCCTCCTCCATCTGACATCTTTCTGAGCCTTCCCACCCCTTCCTCATACCACAGACCCTGGGCTAAGGCCACCAGGTTCTTTATTCTCATGCACTCAAAGATGAGGTCATAGGATGAAAGACTGAATGAAAGTCCCAAAAGCCAGCTGGTCCCCCCTATCAGCAAAGAATGACCTAATGCTGGGAGGAGTGCCCTCTGAGGGTGCCAAGGGCATGCCCAGAGTCGCTGCTTGCTCCTCCAGTAGGAGCCGCACCAGTCTGAGCAGTTGGGTGACATGGCTTGAGTTTCTCCTGAGCCTTGACACTCTCTCTGCAGGGGTGAGGGGGACATGGAGCTGGCATTTGAAAAACATAATGCCCTTTTCTCAAGCCTCACTTATACCCACTCCAGGAGGAGCTACCCCTGGACAAGGCCCCATCACACAGATGTGCAAATGGAGGCTTGGGACCCACTCTCCTCACCTCAAGGGCATTTAGGAGTGAGGGAACCACCTGATTCCAGCCCAGTGCCCACCCCAGCAAAGCCCAGCATGCAAGAGGGAAGATTCAGGCAGGACTGGAATGCACTGGTCTCCAGGGACATGGGTTTTGAAGGGGAGGAACCAAAAAGGACCACCTGGACCACAGGAGGCAGGAAACCTGCCTTCTCTGGTCTTGCCCCGCAGCCCTTTGGAGACCCCAAAAGACCTGTGTATCCTTCTGGTCCCTGGAGTTGCCTCAACCTCTTCAAAGGTGTCAAGTGTGGCCACCTCCTCACCTGGCATCAATCTCCTTCTTTTTCTGTCTTCTGGAACATGGCCAAGGCTTCCTTCAGCACACCATCAGGGTCTAGAAGTTTGACCTAGAGGGAAACAGCCAGGGTTTGGTTTGGGGAGCATGGGAGTCGCCTTGCTGGGGATGCCCTGCCTGAAAACAGAACCTCATCAGTTTCCTGGCTGGGTGGGGTCAGGGGCTCCTTTCTTTCTCTCTGGGTGTGGCTGCAGGTCCCTGGGAAGCGACTCACCTCAGGAATAGGGAACCGAGTTGGCTCAGGGGCTTCATCACGGCCAAAGTCGATCATGGTGCCACACTTGGCCACATCGTCCACCCAGAAACCTTCAAACAGCTGACCATGGTCCAGGTAGAAGAAACGCCCTTGTCCATTCTTCATGCCTCTCTCCCAGAAACCCTCATAGCGGTTCCCATTCTCTGGGGAAACGACAGGGAGGTGAGGATGCTGGGCATATCAAACCAGCCTGAGCCCGGTGTGGTTGTGCATCCTGTAATCCCAGCCTCTCAAGAGGCTGAGGCAGAAGGATCACAAGTTCAAAGCTGACCTCAGCAACTTAGCAAGGCTCTAAACTACTCAGTGATATCCTGTCTCTAAATAAAATATTTAAAAGGGGCTGGGGATGTGGTTCAGTGGTTAAGCACCCTGGGTTCAACCCTCCTGTACACGCCTGCCTAAGGCAGGAGGATTTTAAGTTCAAGGCTAGCCTCAGCAATTCAGCAAGACCCTCAGCAACTTAGTGAGACCCTGTGTCAAAACAAGAATAAAAAGAACTGGGCTGTAGCTGAGTAGTATAAGGCAGCTGAATTCAATCCCAAGTTTAAAATTTAAAAAATTCAGCACTTACTAATAGGTTTCAGCCTCCATGCTAAGGCATTTTACAAACATACATCTCATTTGACCTTCACAATAATCCCAGAAAGTTTTATTTTATTTTATTTTGATGGTAAGGATCAAACTCAGGGCCTTGTACATGCTAAGCACGCACTCTGCCACTGAGCTACAACCCGAGATAATTTTTAATTTTTATCTACAAGTTATGGACAAGGAAATCAAAGCACAGTTCAAGCAAATTGCCTGAGGTCCTAGCACTTGTACAAGCTCAGGACAAGTTCTCAAACCAGGCAGGTTGTCCCAGAGTCCAGGCCATGGGAATAAACCACTTGGCTGGGCATGGTGGCAAAGGCCTGTAATTTCAGCTATTTGGGAGGCTAAGGCAGGAGGACTACAAGTTCAAGGTCAGCCTGGGCAATTTAGTGAGACCCTGTCTCAAAATAAAAAAGAGAAAGGACCAGGATATAGCTCAGTGATAAAGCATAGCATGTCAGGCCAAGGGATCAACTCCCAGCACTCAAAAAAAAAAAAAAAAAAAAGGAAGGAAGGAAGGATACACTTAAGGATACACTCACACTGGCAGGCCACAGCAGGTTATTCACAGAGGGTGATTAGGCTCACAGCTAGGGTGTGGGGAAGACTAGAAAGACAGAAAAAATGGCCCACCTAACCTTCCCAGTGGCCCTGATGCCTCAGCTTGGCTGACTCTCACTGGAAATTAGAATCTTGTGGCCACACAAGTTAGCACATGCCTATAGTCCTACCACTCTGGAGGCTGAGGCAGGAGGATTGCAAGTATGAGGCCAGCCTCAGCAACTCAAGGCCCTAAGCAACCTAGTGAGACCCTGTCTCAAAATAAAAAATAAAGGGCTGGGGAATATAGCTCAGTTGGTAGAGTGCTTGCCTTGCATGCACAAAGCCCTGGGTTCAATCCCCAGCACCACCAAATAAATAAACAAAAATAAAAAATAAAAAGGTGTGGGGACTTATCTCAGTGGTAAAGTACTCCTGGGTTTAATGCCCAGCAAAAAAAAAAAAAAAAAGGACTTTTTGTAAAGTTCTTAGAACTTTACACAGACTGATGACTGACTCATCTTCCCGCTACACAACTCTATGAAATGGATACTGCTATTATGGCTATTTTACAGATGAGGAAACTGAGGCACAGAGAGGTGAAGTCACTTGCCCAAGTTGATACACCTAGTGCTAGAAAGAAAGGAAGCAGGTACTGAGAATAATGAGAAGAACCTCACAAAGGAGGAGATACTGCAAACATCTAGGGGAAAGCATTCCAGACTAGTGCAAGGTCCCAGTATGGGAGCCGGGCATGGTGGGGCATGCAGGTGAAACTAGAGGGGTGTGAGGGCAAAAACCACAGAACTTGAACTCAGTTTGAGTTCATAGCAACAGAGAGCTATGAAAGATTTAAAAACAGATGAGATCCAATTTATGCCTTTAAAAGCTCAAATCAGGCATGGTGGTGCACATGGGTAATCCCAGTAACTCCAGAGGCCCAGGCAGAACGATTGAAAATTCCAGGCTGGCCTGTGCAACTTAGTGAGACCCAGTCTCAAAAAATAAAAAACAAAAAAGAGTGGAATGCAGCTCAGTGGTAGAGTGCCCCTGGGTTCCATCCCCAATACTTAAACAAACAAAAAAAACCTCGTTTTGGTTCCTATGCATAGACAAGACTGAAGATTAAGTCCTGGCCCACTGTGCTTTTCACCAGTAAATAGTGAAAATTAATTATTGCTTGATGTGCCCTTCCAAAGCTCACCGAAACTCTGCCTCTCTCTCTTCCTCAGGTTGGCCTTCCAAATGTTCAATATCACCGACTCTTGGAGGCATTGCCTGACCCAAGTTCTTTGCCATTTCCCAACACACCTTCCTGTTTTTTAAAAATTCCTTAGGACCTTTGACCCATAACTAAAAGCCTGTATGACCTTGAGCAAAGGACTTTGCTTCTCTGTAACTTCTGTGATTAGAACTTCCAATTCACAGGATTGTTGTGAGGATTAAATGAACTCCGTGCTATGATTACTATGGCAATAAAAAATTGTGTTATTTATCTGCTTATAGTTACGCTCCCTTATTAGAGCATAGGATCCAGCAGAGGGAAGGATCCCGGCACCTTAAGCCCTTATCCCGCTAAGGGGCGCGGCCAGCRGCCAGCAGGGCGTCAGGGGCGTGGCCACAGAGCATTGGGCGTGGCTTGCTGGGGTGAGGCGGAGCCAGCGTTGGGGCGTGGTCAGCAGGTGGGGCGGGCCCGGCAGGGACGGAGCACTCACTCAGGCGCAGCATGCCCTCCCCGTCCGGCTTGTCCTTCCACCACTGGCCCTCATAGATGTCTCCGTTGCTGTAGTACATTCGGCCCCACCCGCAGCGCTGGTTGCTACACCACTCGCCCTCGTAATACTCCTTGGGTCCGAAAAACTGGACCCCATAGCCCTGAAAGCACAAAAGTGTTTCTGTTCACAGAGCTCCCACCACAAGAGAAGCGCATCACCTTCCCAGGCACCAAGCCACCCACCTGAGCTCTGTCCTTGCTCAGCTCTCCATCCAAGCGGAGGGAGGGCCATACCTTGAAAGACCTCAGACTGTCCACTTCTCTCTGTCCCTCTGCTACCCCTGCATGCAGCCCACCATCCCCTCTCCCTCCCTTCAGATCCCCTTCAGATCCCCTTCCGTCCTCGTCTACTGTCCTTCAGCAGCCAGGGCACTCTTCCCCCACCCCACTGTACTGCTGGGGTTGGAACCCAGGGGTGCTCCACCACTGAGTTACATCCTTGGCCCTTTTAATTTTTTTTTTTTTTTTTTTTTGGAGACAGAATCTTGTTAAGTTGCCCAGACTGGCCTCGAACTTGTGATCCTTCTGCCTCAACTTCCTGAATCAGTAGGACTGTAGGTGTCCTGCCACCAAGTCTCCCTTGCCATACTGTCTCCATGTGGCTTAAAATGAAGATTCCTCCAAGTCTGTGAAAATAACCTGAGGGAACCTGTCCCTGTTTGGGAGTTCATGGCTCTTCTGACTGGCTTCTATCCCCTTCTTCCTTTCTTGTGCTATGGCCAAGGGTGTGGCTCTACATTTTGTTCCCAGTTTCCTACCCTCCCCTTTTATCCAGGCCCAGTATCCCCCAAAAGGGGAATTCTCAGAAGAGATGCCCAGGGAAAAGAAAGRCAGGAAATGACGAGGAGGAGGGTGGAGGAGACCTCAGCCTGGCCTGACAGGCCTGTGGTCTCCTTGGAGCCCCAGGGTTTCATGGGCTCCTCCCTGGGCCCCYGCTCCTCTTGCTTCCTGTTTCCTGGGTTTTGTTCTGAAAAACTTTGACCCTTGCTAGGCAAGCACTCTACCACTGAGCCACAACCCAGCCCCCCCAGTCTTACCTCTTAATAACACTACATGACCATTAGTGGCCAGGTTTTCTAGAACATGCCTAGAAAACAATTCTAAACACACAAGGAGACCTATCTCCTACTAATCCAGCCACACCACCAGTCCCACCTTCCAGATTACAATCCAATCACTATGGTTTTCATACCAGCCATGTTCCTGCCTCAGGGCCTTTACACTTGCTTGTCCTTTGTCTAGAACACTCTTCTCCAGGGGGTCTTTCCCAATGTAGGTCACACTCTCTGGGCTCCAGGCTCTTACACACTGGCTCTCTCACACTCAGCAGGTATCAGACCCACCCCCACCCAGGGCATGCTGGGAACCACACTCACAGATTTCTTATCCTCTTTCCACCAGCCGGAGTAGACTCTCTGGTACTTTCTACTTCCTTTTTCAGGAAGGCTGAGGGTGCCATAGCCATCTCGCTTCCCAAACTTCCAGTCCCCTTCATAGATGGCTCCATTCTTCTTCCAGACCTGTGTTCCCTTCCCTGGTGACACATAGATGGGTCAACACTGCAGACATGGCCACCCTGGGGCTGGAGGCCGTGTGCCCGGCCAGGCCTCAGGGACCCCTACACTGGCAATTCTCCAGGCCTAGGACAAGGTCTGCACCTCTTCTCTAGACTGCCAGAGCCCAGGAGAACCCCAGGAAAGCTCCATTTCTACAAAGAGCTGTTCTCTGACACCCTTTTGCCCTAAAGCCCAACTGATATAGCATACCCCAAGGAAAAATCCACCCCTTCAGTGTTTCAGCCTCATCTCTTAAATATATACATATGTGTGTGTGTGTGTGTGTGTGTGTGTGTGTGTGTACACATATATATGTGTGTATGTTGTAGATGGACCCAACACCCTAATTTTACTTATTTATTTATTTTTGGTACCAGGGATTGAAGTCAGGGACACTCGACCACTGAGCCACATCCCCGGCCTTATTTTGTATTTTATTTAGAGACAGGATCTCACTGAGTTGCTTAGGGCCTCACTGAGTTGCTGAGGCTGGCTTTGAACTCGCGATCCTACTGTCTCAGCCTCTGAGCCACTGGGATTACAGGCGTGCGCCACTGTGCCCATCTTACTTATTGATTTAATTTAAAATATTTTTTAAGTTATAGATGGACACAGTACCTTTATTTAATTTATTTTTTTATGTGGTGCTGAGGATCAAACCCAGTGCCTTAAACATGCTAGGCAAGCACTCTACCACTGAGCCACAACCCAGCCCCCCCAGTCTTACCTCTTAATAACACTACTTGACCATTAGTGGCCAGGTTTTCTAGAACATGCCTAGAAAACAGTTCTAAACACACAAGGAGACCTATCTCCTACTAATCCAGCCACACCACCACTCCCACCTTCCAGATTACAATCCAATCACTATGGTTTTCATACCAGCCATGTTCCTGCCTCAGGGCCTTTACACTTGCTTGTCCTTTATCTAGAACACTCTTCTCCAGATACTCATTCCCTACTTCCAGCAAGGCTTGGCTGAAGCTTTATTTCCTTAATGAGGTCTCCCCTGACCATCCTGACCAAAATTACAAAGCCTCTCCCACACCCTTACCCTGCTCTGTTTCTTTCCATTTCCCTTATCAGCTCCTAACACAGTAGATAATTCTTTTGTCATTTTTTGTGTGTTGTCTGTCTCTTCCAGGAGGATGCAAGCTCTACGAGAGTATGCACTGTCGATATGTTTTGTTCATCATGCCAAAGAACAATGTCTGACATACACGACCAATATTTATTGAACAAAGGAATGAATAAAATACAAGCCGATTCATGGCTTGGTCTTTTTAATATTTTTTTTAATGTTTTATTTTTTAGTTGTAGTTGGACACAATACCTTTATTTTATTTATTTATTTTTATGTGGTGCTTAGAATTGAACCGAGGGCCTTGCACATGCTAGGCAAGTGCTCTACCGGTGAGCCACAACCCCAGCCCCATGCTTGGTCTTTGATAGTCTGGGAACAGATCCAACATTGCCCCTGTGAGCTTTGTGACCTCAGGGAAGTAACTCTTTGGACTTGTCTAGGTCTCAGATGTCTCATCTATAAAATAGAGATGAGATTGTTTCATGGGACAAGCTAAATATCTATATATATGGGTGAATGAAGAAAGAAAATGTAGAGCTGGGCATGGTGGTGGCACATGCCTATAATCTCAGGTACTTGGGAGGCTGAGGCAGGATTGCAAGTTTGAGGTCAATTTAGGACACCTTAGCAAGACTCTGTATCAAAATTTTAGAAATAAAAATATAAAGTAGGCAGGGGATGTAGTTCAGTGCTGCAGTGTTCCTGGGTGGTTCAATCCAAAATACTTTTTTTAAAAATATTTTTTTTTAGAGAGAGAGAGAGAGAATTTTAATATATATATATATATATATATTTTTAGCTTTCTGTGGACACAACGTCTTTGTTTGTATGTGGTGATGAGGATCGAACCCGGGCTTCACGCATGCCAGGTGAGCGCACTACCGCTTGAGCCACATCCCCAGCCCAATCCACAATACTTAAAAAAAAAAAAAAAGGAAGGATATATATGTATATGTATCTGTGTATATATATGAAGTGGGAAAGAAAGGAATATTATTCATTCTTAAAGAAAAGGTGATTCAGCTAGGTGTGGTGGTGCACACCTGTAATCCCAGAGGCTTGGGAAGGTGAGGCAGGAGGATTGTGAATTCAAAGCCAGCCTCAGCAAAAGTGAGGCGCTAAGCAACTCAGTGAGACCCTGTCTATAAATAAAATGTAAAATAAGGCTGTGGCTGTGGCTCAGTGGTCCAGTGCCCCTGAGTTCAAACCCAGGTATCCAAAAAAAAAAGGAAGAAATCCTGCCATTTGGGGCAACATGGATAAACATGGAAAAACCTAGAGCACTTTATCTTTTTTATTGCTTTTTTTTTTTCTTTTTTTTTTTTTTTTTTGGTAATGGATTGAACTCAGGGGTGCTTAACCACTGAGCCACATCCTAGCCCTTTTTATCTTTTATTTTGAGATAGGGTCTCACTAAGTTACCCAGTCTGGCTTTGAATTTGAAAATTTCCTGCTATGGCCTCCCAAGTTGCTGGGATTATAGGCATGAGCCACTGCACCCAGCTGGAGCACATTATCTCGATAGTAAAATAAGCCAGACACAGAAAGATAAATATCACATGATGTCACTTATATGTGGAATATAAAAACGTCAAACTTGTAGAAACAGAGTAGAATGATAGTTACCAGGAGCTGGGTATGAGGGAAATGGGAAGATGTTGGCCAAAGGGTATAAAGTTTCAATGACAAAGCCCGGCTCTATGGTGCACACCTATAATCCCTGTGACTCGGGAAGCTGAGGCAGGAGGATTGAAAGTTTGAGGCTAGCCTCAACAATTTAGCAAGGCCCTAAGCAACTTAGTGAGAGCTTGTCTCAAAATTTTGCTCATTGGTAAAGTGCCCCTGGGTTCAATCCCTGGTACCAAAAACAAAACGAAACAAAAAACCCTTTCAGTTATAGGGGTCAGGATTAATGAGGATATTGTGCTGTCTGATCCCAACCTTTAAGCCATTTATTGTTTGGCCATGTTTTATATATATATATATAT